GGCATCGGGGCAAGAATGGGTAGCCTCCTGCCTTAATTAATATTTTAATTAATTAACAACAAGGCATGGCAGTCGAGTCAGGTGGGTGGCATGCCCAAAGGCAAGTGGGTCAACTAGCACTGTGGCTAGTCGGGGAGTCCCACTTTGCCACACTGAGCTCCAAAAATGAGATACAATCTGCAGTAGTTCTTATGATCTGAACTTGTATATGGCAGGGTATAGTGATTATTTGATAATAAAAACCAGTATTACCACTATGACTAACTTGGTTAAATGGAGTGGCATTTAATACAGAAAATAAATTCTGATGTGACTTATAGTGATAGCAAGTGTCACAAAGACGTACCATGGCACATTCACGCTGTGGTAACAGCATGTGTGACTCCAAGTTCAGTATAAAAAATGTAAATGAATATCTGAGGGAAACTTGCATTTCTCATTTTGAAGAGGAACTAGTTGTTCTCTTATGTGCTAGAAAAATATGATGTTTCAGTCCTTTGGCAAAAGGAAAACAGGATTACATCAGCTGAACAGTCAGAAGCTGAAAGTACTTAAAATCTTAGTTAATTCAGACTATGTAAGAAGTGCCAATTCTGAGGAGGGGTAGGAAGAGAGGTTGCAGGCTTGCAGCACTGAACCAGAACCTATGATCTGGGTTCAGTCCTTTGGTCTCCTGGACTTCATGTGCAGTTTTAGACAAGGCAAGTTCACGTGTAAAACAGAGCGAAGTAGTTAGCCATCAAGAAATATCAAGGAAGGCCTATCTCTAGGACTAAGGCTTATCTCTAGGACTCCAAAGAGTCCTCCAAGTGCCTCAATCCACTTAAGACCCACTCCCCAGAATCCTCAACTGAGATCAGGCATCTTTTTGTCAACAAGCTGAAAGGGAAGAAAAATGCTAGCCATTTCTTTTTTGCTGTAAGAGGATACATGATTGCATGGCCTAGTGATTAGGGGAGTCTCCTGGGAAAGGGAAATCCTTGGTTTTAATCCCTGCTCCCAGGGCTGGCTTTGCATTTAATTCAGTGGCTGTTGATGTAAATAGCGCGTCTACATGTCACTGTATGGCAGTGTTGCTACAGTGCTGTGCTTTGGCACTTCCTTCAGTAACCACTCCTAGTTGTTGGAGATCAGAGCAACGCCGGCAGCTGCTTGCTGACCCCCCCACCACCGGAGCAGTAAAACTGTCGCCTCAACAGGCGGGTGATTAATGGATGGAGTGGAATTAATCAGGTATAGACGCGTGTTGGTTATAGGAGATTGTTTACTTACGTCGCCCAGATAGTGACGTGCGACGCAGGCTGAGCCTTTGTTTCGTTGCAGTTGTTCCGGTTACAGCGATTATAATCAAGCGTACGGTTTCGGGTTATAGCTAACGATACAGCGATTACGATCAAGCGTACGGTTTCGGGTTACAGCTAACGATGACGGACATGGCGCCGAAAAACGTGCTAGCGTGCCTGCAGGGCTTTGATACGTCAATATTTACGCTGACAGGGAGCTATTGACAGCTGATCAGACTGTCAATTTACTCTGGTGATGGACTCAGGTTTCTCCTCTGAGATTTCCCCAGAAGTCTCCGACTTAGGCGGAAGTTGCTAAACTATTTATAGACAGAGGTGTCTCTCAGAGATATCCAATGATGAACTGCTAAGTGGAATCTTTAATTTTCTGGCAAGCCAGCAGTTCTTTGTGCTCTCAGGTTGCTATCAGGTTACAAGGTAGTGGGTTAGGTTTTCCTGCCTGTTACGTGAGAGGGGTCTGGGCTTGTTTCTTGACCAATCGCAGGGATTTATGGCAGGCTATCCCCTTTTACTCTGACCAATCATAAATCAAGCTTAAGTTTCGTTTCTTGTTTGTGATGTGGGCATAAATTTAAGTCTCTGGCAAGGATTTCTTTTTAATCCTTAGTTGATCAGATGATGGTCTGAATGGTATCTCTTGCAAGTGACATGGGCACTGATTAACTGGGTTGTGACACTAGTGTACCATGCACATGGCACACAGTTATATTTTGCAGCTATGTTGCCATAGTAGCGCACAACAACGGGAGTGTGCCGCTGCAGCAACATAGCTGCCGATCACACGTAGACCACGCGATCACTACATTGCCATACGGCTTTGTACAGTGACGTAACGCATCACGACGTCCCTGTTAGACACCCAGTGTCTTTTAGGAGCAAAGACCAGAGCCCAGGACTTTTGCCTTCTGAGTACTCGGTAGACTAAAGTCAACCTCCCTCTCATTCTTTCTCTGGTCCAACGACTCTCCAAATCTTTACTATGCATACAACACTTCTTCAGTAGATGTTGAGAAGATCTCCATTCAGAAGAGGCTCTAGCTTATGGGTAGGGCAATTTCCTGAGACACAGCAGATGCGATGTTGCATGTCTCCTACCTCCAACAGACTGAGAAGAAAATGAATCCATAATCTGTCACTTTCTTGATGAGGGTTCAATCTCTGCTGGGATTTAGGTGGAGAATTATAGGTGTCTGGATCCTGAGCGAGCACAGATGTGAGCCAGAAGCTGAGCAGCTTAACCTCATCACAACTAGGGACGTTCTGGACAGGTATAGAGGTGGACTCTAGATATCTAGGTAACTTAGTCAAAAGAGTTTAGATGCCTTGAGTGTTGGGCAGGGGACTAAGGCATCTCAGTGGGTAAAACTTCCATTAACATAAAGCTCTGGAGGCTCATGTAAAATAGTTATTTCCCCCTTTATGATGCTGGAGAGATTGCCCTTGCATAGATTTCAAGATTATATTTTGGTCAAACTACAGCTTCAGGGGCAGCAGCACTGATATGCTCCACTGCCTTCCACCACTCCCGAAGCCCAGTGAATCTACCTCTATAATTATAATCAGTTTTGTACCAAACTATTACATCTTAAATAGGTTTATATCTTAAATAACTACTATGCATAAACATGGTTAGTCACAAATTAGTAGAGGAGAATAATTTAGAACTAAAACTTGATAGTTATGTAAGTACATGGACCCTATATGGCTTTGAAACATATTAGACAGACTATCAGATCTAATACTTGTAAAAAGTACGTTCTAACCTGATGTATAATGAACATCGACTAAAAAAATAGAAATGTTTCATAGCTGGTAGGGTCGGAAGGGACCTAAGCAGATCATCAAGTCCGACCCCTTGCCATGGTCGGAAAGAATGCTGGGGTCAAATGACCCCGGCAAGGTGATTGTCTAGCCTCCTGAAGACCCCCCAGAGTAGGAGTGAGCACCACTTCCCTTGGAAGTTGGTTCCAGATCCTGGCCGCCCTAACTGTGAAGTAGTGCCTCCTGATGTCTAGCCTGAATCTACTCTCCGTCAATTTATAGCTGTTATTTCTTGTTACTCCCAGTAGTGCTCGGGGGAATAGGGATTCTCCCATTGCCTTCTGGTCCCCCTTGTCAAGTTTATAGGCGGCCACCAGATCCCCTTTCAGCCTTCTCTTGTGGAGGCTGAACAGGTTCAAGTCTCAGTCTCTCCTCATAGGACCTTCCCTGCTGCCCCCTGACCATGCGGGTGGCCCTCCTCTGGACCCTCTTGATGCTCTCCACATCCCGCCTGAAGTGCGGCGCCCAGAACTGGATGCAGTACTCCAACTGCAGCCTGACCAGTGTCACATAGAGGGGGAGGATCACCTCCCTGGACCTGCTCGTGATGCATCTATGGATGCATGACAAGGTGCAGTAAGCCTTCCTGACCGCCTCCCCACATTGACGGCCCATGTTCATCTTGCAATCAATAGTGACTCCAAGGTCCTTTTTGGCCTCTGTGCTGACAAGAAGAGAGTTCCCCAGTCTGTAGGTATGCTGCTGGTTCTTCTTTCCCAGCTGCAATACCTTGCACTTGTCAGTATTGAAATTCATCCTATTCTTATCCGCCCACGTCTGTAACCTGTCCAGATCTAGTTGTAGCCTGTCCCTCTCTTCTAGCATGCTCACTTCTCCCCACATCTTAGTGTCATCCACAAATTTGAACAAGGTGCTTTTCACCCCCTTGTCCAAACCACTGATGAAGATATTGAACAGTGCAGGCCCATGGACTGAGCCCTGGGGAACCCTACTGGTTGAAAATAACCCGTCTACCACCACTCTCTGGGTGCTGCCCTCCAGCCAATTTGCAACCCATCTGACTGTGTAGGCATCGACACCATAGTTGCCTAATTTTTTAATGAGGATGGGGTGAGAGACAGTGTCAAAGGCCTTCCTGAAGTCCAGAAAGACTACATGCACTGCTGTACCTGCGTCGAAGGCTTTTGTGACCTGGTCATAGAAGGTTGGTCTGACAGGACCTGCCTCGAATGAAACCATGTTGATTGCCCCCAAGCATAATCTCCCTTGCTGGTCCCTTGCTGATGTGTCCCTGGATAATTTTCTCAAACAGCCTTCCCAGGACCGAGGTAAGACTAACAGGCCTATAGTTTCCTGGGTCCTCTTTTCTCCCTTTTCTGAAAATGGGGACCACATTGGCCCTTTTCCAGTCATCAGGCACCTTACCAGAGCACCACAAGTGCTTGTAAAGCTGTGCCAGGGGTCCTGCAATGACCTCTGCCAATTCCCTAAGCACTCTGGGGTTGAGATCATCAGGACCTGCTGATTTGAACATGTCTAGTCCCATCAGAAGTTCCCCGACTAGGTCCTCACTGACCCTGGGCCTGGCTGTCTCCCCTGGGTCCGTCCGGGATCCCGGTGTGGGAGATGTCCCTGTCCCTGCTCAGAAAAATGGAAGCAAAAATCTGTTAAAGAGGTTAGTTTTGTCATCTGGTGCAACCACCAGATTACCAAGCGTGTCCTGCAGAGACCCCACATTACTTGGTACCTTCTTTTTACCCCCTATGTATTTTTTAAAAAAGGACTTCTTGTTATCTTTAATGTCAGTCAGCTTGGTCTGTAACACATCTCCGAGTACATAGAATGGGGCAGAACATTTGATCAAAGTATCTCTCAGTATTCCTAGGATTAAGACTTGAAGCATCAACTTACATTTTAAGACACAGAAAGGAAGGTCATGGATGAAATGTTATATTTGAACTTGAATCTAGTATATAGGACATGGTGTACAGCAGGCTTAAAATTTCTCATTTAATACCTTTATTAGAGTTCCACTAGTGATAGATGAGTGTGTGAGTTCTAGTGTAGCCTTAGGGCCACTGGGGCTTCTTGCCACAATATTATTCTCATTTCTTATCAGCAAAGAGAGAGCATGGTACATATTTTGGTAACTACCAGTGCTTTTGGCTATGCTAGAACACCTATCACTGTAGCTTCATCAGCAATAGCTGGGGCCACAAGTTGGAGCACGCAAGGAATTTCAAGGGAGAATATTTAGCTACTTTCATAGGCAGTGTCTGTACTAATTACATTTTCATAGATTTCATAAACGTTAGGGGCTGGAAGGGACCTTGCGAGATCGAGTCCACCTGCCTGCCCTAGGTAGGAAGTCTGTGGGGATCAAATTTTGTCACCAGCAAGATTGATAACTTTTAAAGCGTACATTTTTGCTTAAGTTGCTATCAGTTATTCTTCAGTAATGCAAAAACAGGAGATGACTATGAAGGTATTTGACAAACAACAGAGTCGTTAAAAAAATATATATAGATAATACATATTTACATTTTATAACAGAGAATAAAGAACAGATCAGACACTTGATATTTTAAGAAAAGCTAACAAGTTTACAAAAAGTGGAAGAGACATTTAAAAATTACTGTACAGGCTATATCAATCATTTAGTTTCACAGCAGTTTCCTTGGAGTGTATGGAATTCATAGGAAATAAATGTGCAATATTAAACACTGACAGAATGGTTTCTTTGGAGATCTGCTCCTAACATTGCATAGTGCTGTTTGATGAATACCTTAATATTTGTTAAACAAAAAAATATAGTTTAATTTGTGTGTATCCAAATTTCAGCATGTTTTGGATCAATTGACCTGCAAAAGACATGGGTAGGATATTACATTCACAAGTCCTCTGTATCCCTGAAGGGGTAGCACTAGGATCTGAACTAGGAGTAACTTAAAACCCTGATGTGTTTAGGTGAAACTTCACTGAAGTAAAAAGAGTATTAGGTTCTTAATCATTCAGGCAATTATAGCCTTCACAGCCTAGGTCAAATTAATCTTCTGTGTAGCTTATTTTCTAAGTCTGTGGAAATCATCTGTATTTGTATCTTTCAAAAGAGAATGATAATGAGCAAACCCATTTTATATTACACTTACTGTATCAGAAATGCATTCAGCTACATTTATTCTGAGAAACAACAAGATCTTGTTCTTGGTTCCACCTGCACAAGGCCACTAACATCAGTTAGCTCACGTGTGTACAAAGGGCAGCAGGATTTGGTCAATTGCCTTTGAACAGCTCCCCTTGGCATTTTACATATGTATACTGTTTAGCCTCCTGAATCTGGTCCATCCTAGTAAGTGTTACATATTGAAACCAACAGAGCGTAGACACCCTTCAGAGCATGAAATGCAAATGTCTACTCAGCTCTTGAAATGTTTCAGTGTGATGAACACCATTTAAACTTAGTAGTTTGCCAGGGAAGATTTCTTTCCTGGTCAAGAGTTTGGAATGAATGATGTTCAGTTTTATTCAGGAGCTCCATTCCTTAGCATTTCACTTCTTTCCAGAGACAGCCGAATGATATCCTTCCTAATGTTGGGATGATCTTCTAACTCTTCATATAAAGACTGAACAATGTCCAATCTCCTGTAGTCCACTGGGTTTACCAGACTGCGAACAACCTGAAGGCATCTCTCTTTCAGGGTGAACACTGCAGAGAGAAAAGATTGGCTGAGAAGTGCTAGAGAAGCTCATTGTATCAAAACGTGGAAGTATTTTTACTGAAGTTAGCCCACAACACTCATGTGAGAGGTATTATTTTTCTCACATTTTTATATAAAGGGAAAAATCAGATATTGAGATATTACCTACATCCCATGGAATGACTGGCCAAGCTAGGAATAGAAATGTAGCAACTGAACCACAAAACCTTATGCAAAATATAATAAAAATGCTGAATGAGGAGCTTAAGTCAAGGCCCAATCGTTAACCACCATGCTGAAGAGAAAAATCAGCAATGTTGCTTTAGGAAGTCCTTCAAGAACTTTTCTGCTGGTAGAGATAGCGTCTACCAATTTATTGAATTTTTAATTCAGTCACCCATTTTTTATATTGAAGTAGAATAAGGTGTGTGGTCTTAATTCACTGGTTTCCCCTTAAACACTGCCAGATTTAACTTATTTTACCAGGTAGTGTGATGTCTGCCAATATGTAGTTCCCATCCACGTTGCGAGTAGGCTCAAACACCTCCATCTTGTTGACAAGAAGCCTGTCATCTGTCCCCGCATCTCTGAATAGCCAAAGATGCCCTAGAAAAAAGCAGAGATCAAATGTAATGCGGGAGACATACATCCAGTTCATCTGAATGATACCTTTCAATAATATACGAATGAGCACAAGATAGTGTACAGTATTATTCAGCTCTAGATTTAGCGGACTCAGAGCTTGTGCAGGATCACGGAGGATTGGAGCGGAGGAAGAATTTGGATCGGCGATTCTCAACTGGGGCACTGGGGGCTCCCCGGGGTGCTGCGCGACCTTTGGACGGGCGCTGCCAGGTGTGAGGAGGTAGGGGCAGGCTCCGGTTTCTCCCTGCCCGGCTGTGCCCTGCCCAGCTCCCTAAGGAGGCAAGTGCCATAGCGTAGCGGGTCCTGACCCTTTTAGATGGCAGAACGGCAAACCGCGGAAGTGACCGTGGACCAGGAAACTGCAGATTGGAAGAGACTGGCATACCACAGACCGGCCAACCCTTGTTTATACTCAGTATAAAAAAAAAGAGTTGGCTGCTGGGACACTGTATACGGGTGACTTCTGGACACACGGTCCGGCCGCCAACCCTTTGCGGCCTGGGGCTTGGGAACCCCTGCCGTAGCAGATAAATTAGTTTTACGAAACGGGGCGCCGCTCAATTTGCACAAGCCGGGGACGGAGGGCCTCGAGTTGAAAAGCGAATGCCCGGGTCCGCACAGCTCGAGGTCAGCGCCTCTCAACCCACATGTCGCGACCCAAAAGGGGGTCACAAGAATACATATGAAAAGGGCGCGGCCAAACTTAAAAAAAACCAGCGGGTTTTGCTTGAAAGGAGAAGAGCAGGGGTGAGCTCTGCCAGCCCGCAAGGGGCTGCTCGGCCTCCCGTGCCCCACACCACACACCCACAGCGGGGCTGGCACCGACCCCGCGGCCCCTGGCACCCACCCACGTAGCTGTGCATCCGGCGACCGGTGCCGGGCTGCAGCACGGGGTAGCTCTGAGGCCTGCCCTCGAAGTCCAGCCACACCGGCAGCACCAGGCGCGGGCTCCAGTTGCGGAAGATCACCTGCGCCGGCTCGCGGCTGTTGGGGGAGCGCAGCGCCCCGCGCCCGCCGCCCCGCGCGCATGCGCAGAGCGGCGCCGGCCGCCATGATGCTCCGGCGGGCGGGGGCGAGCAGCTTCGTTGCGCATGTGCGGGGCGGTGCCCGTTGCTCGTGGCCCGCGCTGGTGCTAAGTGCGCATGCGCAGCATGTTGGAGCTGGGGTGAGCGGTTAGTGGTTGTCTCTGTCCCTAAGTCTGATCCTAAGTAAGCATGAGCCTGAGTCTTAAGCACTAGAGTCTGCAGTGAGATGAAATGGAGAATAAGGGGTGCTGAGGGCAGGCAGCTCAGGCCCAACTTTCCCACCCCCTTTTAGGCTTTCTGCCCACGGTGCTTACACGTCAGCGGAGCGGGTCTGTCTGGTGCGGGGCCCACGTTGCAATGGAGGTTCGAGCATCGTGGGTTTGGGATGCTCCCACCCGTGTTACAAACGTAGCTTGCAAAGCCAGCAGCATCGCGAAGCGTGGGCTGCCAACACAGCCTCTTCAAAATATGTGTTTCTGGGTCGCTTCATGCTCTGGGACTTGGACACGGCCTTGCCCCATAGGTTGCCATCGAGCCATGTTGCCTTTCATGTGGAACAGTGCAAACGGTCACTTGTGTCACCTGCAGTTTCAGAGAAAAACCCCGTGATTTCTACACGGCAGTATTTGCTGTGGTTTTTCCAGTGAGCCGTACCGAGCGTGTGAACACTGGCAGCAGTTTCAACTCTTGACAGGCAAGTATGACCTGATATTTAAGTCTGTGTTGGAACAGCGTTGTTCAGGTTAGAAAGCCAAACCCTTGGAAGTTGGAAAACATCAGAGTGTCGTCGTCTCTGCATCCCCTCGGGCACATGCATTGTGACAGGTTTTAATTAAGTAACTGCAAAGTATTTTTTTTTCTTAGGCAGAGCACAGCGGGTATGTATTGCTGTATCAAGAAATGGTTAGATGATGCAGGAAGGGAGAGGAGCGCTGAGTGTGCTTTCCAAAAGGATACAGCACAAATGTCTTTTCTAGATGAGGATCAAGCCTTTTGCTAAAAGGAGTAATTTTTCTTTGTTTTAGAAATAGAAATGTGCCGTGGAAAATACAGTACAACCCCTGGATTAATTGCATCAGCTGCCTGTACGCAATACAGATTAATCAAGTCTGCTCTGTGTTCTAATTAAAACACTTTAGCATTGTCTCATCATCGTGTCTATTAAGCCTCCATGTGTTTTAAAATGGCTGCCGGAGCACTTTAGCTAAACCTCATCGAATGAGAAATTTTAATTAGGGTGGTTGCTGAAGAGCCACTCCAATTAAAATGCCTCATCGTCACGTCTGTTAAGCCCTAAAAATTTAAAAATGGCCACAGGATGCTTAGCTAAACCTCAGCTAAAGCGGCCTGTAGCCATTTTTAAACATGCAGGGTTTAACAGACATGAGAATGAAGCATTTTAATTACAGCGTCTCTCCCGGAACTGCCCTAATTAAAATGTCCCACCCTGAGCATGTGTATAGGCAGCTGATATCATTTCTAGAGTGTAGGCACTACTGGCAATTTTTGAGCATGTATGTGTTTTGCAGGATGAGAAGGCTGAAAGAGCTTGTATAGATCATGTTTATTTCTGATGACTCTGTATGTATATAATATAATAATGGCGTAAGATAGAAGTAAATGATACCGTGCATGGGTAGGTGTAGGTAGGAGGGTCTATGTGAGGTGGTATTACAGAAGTTGATTGTTCACATGGTGCTATGTGAGTGTAAGTGGTAAAAATGCATATCTGAGGGAATGGATATGTATAGTGTGCATGTGTGCAGAAGTTTTCAAAACGGACAACAGTCCCTATCTCAAAAGCACAGTGCTGCACCCTTCTGAGAGGAGTGAATCCGCTTCAAATGATGCAGACATCACATCCTTATGTTAACTGCATTTCCAAGGATACTGAGCAATAACTTTGAAAGCAATAGGAAAAAAAAAACTTGTGAAGATCCGCCTTCCTGACCACCTTATTGGACAACGTAATCCAGAGCCATTTGACACTGGCTATGTTTGTTGTCGGTATAAATTAGCAAAGCAGTAGTACGGATCGGTGACTGGAAGAGGCATCAGATGCTGTATTTATAGCTCCCTTTTCACAGGCAGGATCTATTAGCAATAATTGACAGGTCTCCCTGCAACATTTATTAACTTACTAGGCTACTTGATCCTTTAATTTTGTTCCCACATTTAGGATTTAGCATTAGGAAATTGGATAGTAATTGTTTTTAATTTTTGAGCATCAGTCTTTTGCATTGATCTATTTTAGTGTTTTAGGAAAAAAGGAATAATTATTATTTTTCCCAGTAGAAACGTTGCATGTTCTTCTGCATATACCCCCTACCTCCATGAGAAATGTGGTGGTGGTTATAGCAGCTAAATGTTCTTAGGTATTTTTTTGACAGGCTGTTTATGTTGTCTTTCATTCCAGCAGCGAGATGCTACTGGACCAAGAAAAAAGGAAAGCTAGCATCATAGCCTCTCTGCAGGCACTGGGGCAGGATTCTGCAAAAGGGAGAAAGAGTAAGAATTCCAGAAGAAAGATGATCTCAGATTTAAGTCCTTCTCTGTGTCATTGCCTGCCTCCTGGGAAACTTATGCCTGGATCCAACTTCAGTGGTGAAGTCCACTGGAAGGGAAATCTCCCCACAGGACCATCTGCTCTGGGAATATGGAAGCTGACAAATCTGGGAAAAAAGCCTCACATTCCTAAGGGCAGAGGATACAGCACATGGACACCTTCCCAATCTCTGCAGCACATCCTATCCCCACCCCTGGGGCACCAGGCAAGGGAGAGACCCAGCAGATTCAAGGTGAGGACTATCAACAGTTAGTCTTATAACACTGATTCTAAGGAGCAAATTCAACCTAGGTATAATAGCCCTGATTTCAGTGAGCTTCTCTTAGAAATATAGTTGGCCCCTATCCTTATAGTAGGAGGAAGTATTTCACCCAAATGTAAGAAACAGTATTTGTTTTTCTCTTTAATTTTCACAAATAAACTGATAGCAGATTGTACTGGTATAATGATGTAATTTGTACCAGCAGTAACAATTAGAGAGGGTTTGAGAGGTGAACATCTGAAGTGTGAAGCCTTATGTTAAAATTCCAGATGTGAAGCCTTATGTTAAAATTCAATAAAATATGATCTTTTAACCAAAGACTTGTGACCCCTTGTGGAAAACTCACTTTCCCATTTTGTCTGTTAAAAGTAGAAAGGGTTTTGTTCTGAGCAAGTTATTTGCTGCTACCACTTACTCCCCATTCAGTATAGGGTTCCTTCCCTTAGCTACTCCTGATTTACACTGGTGTACGTGAGAGGAGAATACACCAGGAATTATCTTCCATTAAAGGCATTTCATTTGTGAGCTTTGGCTCTTATTATAGGATCACAAGTTAAGGGGTAACAGGTAAAACATGTTTTATTGCCAT